TATCTCTGAGGTATGCCAGTGTTTTTGTTTTTACCAGATAAATACCTAAAAGTGGAATTGCTAATTACATATACAAATTCTATTTTTAATTTTTTGAGGACTTCCATACTGTTTACGATAGTGGCTACACCAACTTACATGCCACAAATGGTGAAGAAGGGTGCCTTTTTATCCACATCCTTACCAACAATGATTTTTGGTGTTTTGATAATAACCATTCTGATGGGTGTGAGGTGGTATCTCATAGTGGTTTGGATTTGCCTTTCCTTGGTCATTAGCGATGCTGAGTACCTTTTTTATGTACCTGTTGCCTATCTGTAGAACTTCTTTGGAAAAATATCCGTTCAGATCTTCTTCCCATTTTTAAATTTGATTGGGTTTTTCTGCTATTAAGTTGTATGAGTTATAAATATATATAAATTATCAATTACAATATCAGCTATGCATTATTATATTACAAATAAATTATAATATTACAAATCAATTATTATTACAATATTACCAATCATTACACTATTAGGAAATATTTTCTCCCATTCAGTTAGCTTTTGTTTTGTTGATGATTTCCTTTGCTGTGCAGAAACTTTTTAGTTTGATGTGATCCCACTAGCTTGCTTTTGCTTCTAGTATTTTGTTTTTGAAAAAGCAGTTGGTGACTTGGGGAGCAGCTACAGCATTTGGGCAAATGACCAAGATAGAAGAGAAGGCCAGAAAGAGAAGAGTCATGTCACAGGAAGGAAAGTGGTAAGGGGACAGAGAAGAGGCTGCAGTGTAATTTTCAGTTCCGTGTTCAGGCACAGATGCGTGTGCATGTGCGCGCACACACACACACACAGCCCCTTGGCTGCGAAGCTGGACGCCATCCCAGCCTGACCCTTCTCACCCTGCATCAGACACCTTGCTCTCCAGCGCTTCACGTTTACAGCTCTGCTTCAGATCTGACCTCTGCTCTCCCTTGACATCCTTCTGTATTTCTTCCACCCCAAGAGATGTGTTTCCCAAGGTGCTGCCTCACCTCCTTGGGTAAACCCAGTAATTTCCACATTAGATACAATCACCCTCAGGCAGAATCCTTCCAGACCTGTTGTCTCTAGCTGTCCCTTATTCACTGACGTCCATCTTCCCTTTTGACATTACTCACTGAAGCAGCCCCAATTTAA